TCCGACGAGTTTGAAAATCGTGCAGTGTGAACTCGGCATAAGGAAAATTATTTTTTCTGTTTCTACAGATTCTACTTCATGTGTGTGTCTGCAGTGCTGATACACAAAGGTGAGCATCTGAATAACACATTTAATATTAATGTAAAACATTTACTGGATTGTAATATTTCTACATTGCTTTATTCTGTTTATTCCATTGAAAAGGGTTTTAAACAAGTTCATACCTGTTTAGTTTTAGAATGTTTAGAAAAATGTGTCTTAAATATCTTTAATTTGTATTTAACTAAAGTATGATTTTGCCAAGGAATCTGGAATGGCATTAAAACAAACAAACAAGCAAACAAACATGCTACATGTATGAATGTCAGACTGTGGGTTTACAGTTACAGTTTGTCTGATTTCAGTGTCTCTGCAGGTCCCAGGTGTTATTGATGGTTCTGTTGTCCTGCCGTGTTCTTCAGCTCAACAGGATCTTAAACTTCAAGACATTAATGTGCACTGGAGACACAATAACCGTGAGATTGTGTATGATATAATCAAGGGTGAAGATTCAGTAGAAAAACAGGACCCACAGTACAAGAACAGAGCTGAAACTTTCCCAGAAGAGTATAAGAGAGGAAACTTCTCCATCAAACTCAACAATCTTCAACACACTGATGCAGGAAAGTTCAGCTGCTTCATCACACCCTCAAATGAACAGGAGACTGTGGAGCTGCGGGTCAACGGTGTGTGAAACTACTTGATTAATATATGAAGATATACATAAAATAAAATCAAAGCTCATTAGTTAGGATATGGGTGAATACTGCTGTATATATACATTACAGACAGATCTGTTGTCTCTATAACAGTGCAGCAATGTTTTTATCTTTTGATTGATTGATTGCAGAATCAACAACAGAAAAGGGCAACAAATCCATGGAACAAGAAAACCAAGGACAAGAAACAGGAGCAGACAGTGTGGGGAAATCATGGCACTGGCTTTACATTTTATTAGCTGTAGGCCTATTATTATTTCTAGTGCTTATAGCCGGTTTCATCATAAATCCCTGTAGAAAAATAATCCAAACACCCTCATTCTCCTCTGTCACGACTGAAGAGCAAGCAACAGTAATAAAAATGACATAAACATGTCTAAAAGTTTCACTCCTTTACTTTATTTTCTTTCTTTCTTTCTTTCTTTCTTTCTTTTAGCTGAATTGTTACAAATTATCTAAAAGACACTGTTGCCTGTACTGTTCTACTTTTTTAGGATAAGCAGTTTAGAGAATAAAAGGATGGATGGATAGATGTAAAGGATCTAAGGATTTTTTGTAGCAACCTGTGTGTGTTGCTTCAAGAGGGCAACAATACATTTGTGTTGTGTTTTACTTTTTTTCTTTTATATTCATTTATTCTTCATTTATTTATTCGTTCAGTTATATCTTTTATCATTTAAAGGGGTCATATGATGCGATTTCAATTTTTCCTTT